CTCTCTCTCTCTCTCTCTCTCTCTCTCTCTCTCTCTCTCTCTCTCTCTCTCTCTCATTCAGGAGTCATCTCCTCATTATTTTTGTAGATAAGGTTATGATTACCAGAGATGCAGATGGTGCTGCAGCGCCTCATGATGGAGAACAGAGCCTATATTTGATTAAATGTAGTTTTTAACCTACTGTTTTGCTGAATCATCTTTTAGTTTCTGCTTTGCTAATTTTAGTTTACATAAGGTTTGTCTAATGTGAGCTTTTAGTTACAATTTCATTTAAACTTTTGGCTACTGTATTGCTTACCTTATAACTCTGATTTAAATAATTTTATTTTTTATAATATGATGTAGTTATTTTAGCTTTTAGATACAATTTACCTGATTTGACTTTTAGTAATGGTTTATCTAATTTTAATTTCATAGCAGCTGTTTGCTATTTATAACTTAGCTATGGTTTGTCTAATTTTAGGTTTTAGAAACAGTTTTGCTATTTTTAGATTTAAGTCAATTTTAATGGTTTTAGCTGTTTTGCTGATTTTAGCTGTTTTAACAGCTCAGTTCATTCTTCAACAAATTTCAGCAGACTTTATACTCTGTATTTTTTAGAGAAAATGCATTTTCCCCTTCTTTTTTATATATTGCATCGTACATTCTGGTGCTTATAACTTTAAATTTTTGCACATGTTGATAAATGAGTTTAAGTTTTTAAACCTAAATATTGTTGACTGTAGTGGGCCCTACCATCTAGATCACGCGGGGGTCAAAAACAAAATTTAACAAACTCCTGTAAAGACTTAATACAAAGTGACCAACATGGTTTATAATAGTCCAGATTAATTGATTTATTTTGTGTTTACAAGTTAAAAAGCGAGCAGCAGAACATGTTATTCGACATATTTGAGTGCATAAAGCTGAGCTCGGTCCCCGGGAGGCCGAGGGGAATGGAACAGTCCAGAAGGCGAACCGAGCCCAAACACGCTCACGTATCAAACAGTGAGCTGACAGTCACTCTGAACGATTGAATCAGCGTTACCGGTAAACAATGTGACCGGGTGTGGAGACCACACCTCGGCGAGGCCCGCAGGAGACGGATGACAGCCAGCTTTAGTTGTCGGGAGAGGCGCACCGCAGCATGGCATCTCAGCCGAGGTAGGCAGCCCCTCTGCGGTTAGCAGCTAGCAGCTAGCCCCGCAGCCCGACGCCTCATCAGCTGGGGAACAGTCCGCCTGCTCCTCAGCTGCTGGACAAGTCTCAAAGTTAATAATAATAATTATTATTACTTAAAACTTTATGCAAGTGCGACAAGAATACAAGAAGACATTTCTCGTTGATGTTCTGCTGGCAAACAAACTTGTTGAGGTTTCAGGCGGTCAGGGAAAGTGGTGGAATCAGCTGGAAACGACTGAGTTTTATCAGCTGTTTCAAAGAGGGATTTACGTTTGAGGCCAAACTTGTCACGTTTGACAAACTTTAGCCATTATGTATTTTGCTGAAAGGTTATAAAAATAGATCGTAGAGGTTTAAATGAATGCGAATGATGCGATTTTAAAATAAAACTGCTGATTCAAGTATATTCTTCTTTTAGCTCGAACTCCTCAACTCCTGTCTGACCTAATCTGGACTCCGTGTTTTCAAATGGTTTTCATGCGAAATTATACAGAACAGTGTTGAACATAGGGCTGTGTATTGGCAAGAATTTGGCGATACGATACATATCATGACGGAGGGGTCACGATACGATATATCCCGATATATTGCGATACTGTAAGCAAGGCGATATATTGCGATTTTTTTGGTCCAAAAATTCTATTAAATAAAAACCTCTTATAGGGGAAAAAAATGAAAAACCAAACTTTATTGTCTCAGAAAATTCTAATATTACATAGACATACTTTTGATACATTTAGCTGTGTTCTGCTTTGTATGCGTTTTATTTTATTTGTTTCATATTTCTTATTTCATCCATGTTTTCAATTATTAGACAAAATTTGCCAATAAATAGTTTGAAAATATATTTTTGCAGCTTTTAGTTTTTAAAATTAATTTACAATATGGTCACCAAACACCTCAAGAGGTAGGAGCCAAATGGCTGGCTCACTGCTGCCAACTAGTGGTCAGAGTCTGAACTACAACATAAAAATGAACAGCTGGCAGGAAAGTTGACATTTTAAACCTTAATAAAAAATCAATACAGGGCTTTAGAATATCAATACAGTATCGGGAAATGAAATATCGCGATATTTCAATGTATCGATATTTTCTTACACCCCTAGTTGAACAATGTCCAGCACCTAGGAAAACTATAATCCTCACAAGAAAAAAAAATGCATCATGCTCTTAAGTAGTTTTTTTTTAGGTATGGCTTAGCTTGCTGTTGTTACTGCTGATTTAATAGTGACATGCTTATATTTGCATTAAAAATGTTAGGTGTGTGTGTGTTTTTATGACTGTAGAGTCATTACAATGATGCCTGGACCAGTGGATGGATTGTAATGAAACTTAAAGAATCACTGCACATAAATATGTTTATTAAATCTGCACATTTATTAAATAAAGTCTAATGTTACAATTAATCATGGATCCCTTTAATGAAAATCTCTAAAAGTAATCATTAGTTGTTCATCTCTAAACTTATTAACTTTTGGAGTCGATCGAATTTAAGATGATCATCAAAGCTAATGGACACACACATGGCTCTAACAACTAATTAGGGCTGCACATAATTAGGAATAGCTGCGATGTGCGATAACAGTGCAATGACAATATGACTTGAGATAAAAGTAGGCCTATGCTTAAGTATGTGGTGTATTTCTGCTCTGGGGTCAGAACAAAACAACGACTAATACATCATTTCCATTCACTTGTTAGATCAACAACTTTAGATTTGCTAGCACTTGCTTTTTGGAACTCTTCATGCAGGTCTTTACGGTTTTAATGAAGGTGACAATGGAGATTAGTCATGTTCTCACATGGTTTTCACTAGTTTTCAGTAGGTCTTGCAGTGTGTTTGTAGAATGTAGTCATTTGAAACCAAAATATCTCTAAATTGGAGATATGCAGTGTTCTGGTTTTTTTTTTTTACACAAGTTCTTTGTTAACATTTTCATCACTTATCTTTCAGTCATATCGACTCTCACTAAACTTGCTCAATTGTTTGCTACCCACCCACATCTACATAGGGGGTGGGCATCTAATGTAAAGAGATCTATCTGCATTGGCCAAATACATAAAGAGCTCCACTTGATTGGTCAAACCCTTCAAGCTTCATTGTGATTGACAAAACGCTGAAATGCAAATATTCGAGCCAATCATTTATTGCAGTTTACACAATTTTTTTGCAATATGCCCATTGCACAGGCTGTTGTGATGATAAATTTTCCATATTGTGCAGCTGTAACTACAATATCACAGACACGTTTTGCAGCCCTGCAAACAAAAAACACTAAAGCTTAATGATTTGATCACTTGTCAACAATAGAATATCATTATTGATCATTCACAAATGACTGTTTAACTTGCATTTAGGGTAAAGGAAAAATAATAATTGGATTTTAAAAAATCACCCTTTTTAATGTTTTTATTGTGTAGTATTAGGTTCTATCTTGTTTCTTTAAGCTTATTTCTGTTTATTGCTAGTGTGTAGAAAGTTGCTTGACTGATGACTTTACATAGCATGAGCTGATTAGCCATTGTCTTATGACCATCCTAATAGGTATGCATGATATTGGAAAACTAACTGCGATTTTTTTCTAACTCATTGCAGTATGAAAAAATACAGAAATTTTCAACAGTCAAATTAAATAACACTTTAAGTTATGTTGCCATCCATTGCCATCCTGCATCAACCTGCATCAATCTTACCTCTTTTGTGTGAGTTACAAATATATTTTTGTCTGAGTATTTGAGTTATTCTTGTTATTTTTTTATTGCTTGCTTTTATTGTGCTGGAACCCGAGTACACGTAAATTGACAAAATTTAAAGTTTGTTTTTGATTTTTTTTTTTACACAAAGCACCCATAGAGGCGCTTCTGTCGGTGGAAGCGGAGCAGGCATCGTCAAAATAAAAGCCGTTTAGTAGCTTATTGTTTACACGTTGATTTAATTTGCCACCTACATCACAGGACCTTTTGCGATGAGGATTCTCAAAGGATTTATCGTGCAGCCTACACCCTAGTCTCATATAGGGCAGTGGTTCCCAAACTTTTTATCTTCTGACCCACAAAATATCCTTGGCAAAAACTTGTGACCCCAAATATTACTGGTCTGAGTACAYRAACTTYGTTAATAACCCTAAAAACACAGGMTTTTTGACAATCTAAACAGCTTGTACACAAATATAAATACTTATCTATATTTATTTTGTGTTTTTGCAATAGTTACAGGGAAAATATTACATCAGCAATTATTTTATTACCCTTTAAATTGATTTCTGGAGATTATCTAAGAAGCTTCATGACCCATAATTGGGTCCCAAGCCCAACTTTGGGAACCAAAGTGCAGTGGTTCCCAAACTTTTCAGCTTTTGACCCACAAAATAACAGTAGCAGAGACCTGTGGCCCCAACTATTTTTGGATGATAAACATTTGTATCAGGTCAACTAAACATGGGCATAGTAAAAATATGTTTGTACCACATTTATCCATTTTAAATACACTAATCTCACTCCTTTGTAACAACTAAGGCAAACAATGTAATTAATTCAGAAAATCTTTTCAGGACCCCACCTTGTTGTTTCGGGACCCCACTTTGGGTCCCAACCCCAACTTTGGGAAACACTGAACTAGGGGTCCTCTCCCCCGTTTGCTACTAAAACAGTTCTAATCTGTTGGGACTCGTGCTCCGTCCTACATCTGAAGGTCTGCTGTGGAATCTGACACCAAACTGTCAGCAGCAGATCTTTTATGTCCTGGAAGCTGCGAGGTGGGGTCTCTGTGAATTGCATTTGTTTAATGCATCTGACAGACTAAATTAAAATGAGATTTGGAGAAACTTGAAACAAAGTTAATACATTGAGTAATCCTCATCATGAAGATTGAACACCTCCCATAAAAGCTGAAGTTGTAGTAGTTTTCTGAGCTGGAGCATTCAGATTTAACACACTTGGATGGATTTCTTGAAACTCATTAAACTAGAAAATGTTTTTGTCTCGTCACAAACGTTTTGGAGCCCATTCATTTATGAGAAAACAAGGTCACCCTGAGGTCAGACTGGAGCTCAGAGAAATGATAAGAAACCGTTTGACTTTACTAGCCTCAGTTAACATTTTACATTTTAAGTTTCAGCTCAGTTAGAAATAGATTTGTTTATCAAGGTCTATTGCCTTTTTAAAAATAATAAACTGGTAAAGTTTAGTAAAGAAAACTGCAATGCTTTGTGGGATATTCTCTTTGAAAGCTTGAGACAATAACAAAGACATGGGGTGTAAGTACAACACTTGGATGCAGCCGTTTTAAGTGATCCCAAGCACAGTAGCAAATGTACGACAGAATGGCAGAAAAGAAAAACAAACAAAAAAAAAAAAAGAAATGTGAGTGTTGCAATGGCCCAGTCAAAGTCCAGGTCACTTGAATGAAAACTGTAGGAGAGCTGTGCAGCAACACTGCTTCTGCCTTATTGCTTTTTTGTTGTCATAAACAGTAGAAAAAGTTGTGTTGTTCATCTAGAATTATTTTATTTTAGAACACAAGATTTTTAGATTTTTCTGAATACCTTGCAATTTAAATGGCTTTGATACTTTTACTATGAATTCAAACAAATAAATTATTGGTTTTTGACGCAGGATTAAAACTAAACAAAATTGTCAACTGATTTGACAGTTTTCCTCCCGTCTTAAATGGCCTTTTATTTAACTATTTCTTACAGTAATTAGAAATCTAAATTTGTACCTTCACAACCACTCACAAGTGAAAAAAGAAATATGTTGGGTTCAGAGCATGTATTAGTTATTTGTATCTGTTGTGAATTAACAATTTATTATCACAGCCACAAATTACTTAACTAAGTAAAGTACAGATGATGTTAGATTTACCCAGTATATGCTTGATACAGTACTTCTCTTTTTTGACTAATTAACCAACTTGGTTCAGTTTGTTTTTCTTTTTTTTTTCATATGTTAAGTGGTTATTTCAGCGTGTCACTTCAGCACACACAACTAAAATCCTTACATTACACATTTAAACCAAAGCTAAAAACACAATTTAGTTTTGGATACTTCTATGTTGGGTTTTGCTCTATATCTAACCAACATAACCCATGTTTCTTTTGAGTGAATTGAGTGTGTATTCTTTAAAGAAAACTATTTAAGACATTTGTCCCTGGTTAAAATTGATATTTAGCCTGTGGCTGAGCATCGCCAGTTGATGGTTGATATGCTACATTAATGAGGGAGTGCTCATCTGTTTGGCTTAGTCCCAAATCTTTGCTCTTCCACTTGTTGCCATGGAGGGATCCCACTGGGGCCGTTGTCCGTTATGATCATCAACACCTCACTTTGGGAAGAAAAATGCAAAAACTGAAAATCTATCATTCAGTTCATAATAAATCTGAAGTATGAAGCAGGGCCTATTTTCCAAATAATCAGCTGATATTTTTTTATTTATGATTTAATAAAGTTGTTTATCTTTTAAAATGTCTAATAAACCATATGTCATCTTTAGGGACCAGACAGAGGAGAGACATGAATGTTGTAGTGACTCCTCATAACAGGTGTGAGTCAATTTGTACCTGCTGATCTGATCTCATCAGACACAGCAGCTTTACCCCCGAGGACGACAAGTCTGGGCTACAAAAGCCATTAATTTGCACAGTCTAGATTTTCTGGTTGATTTATCATATGAGATTCAGTCCTGAAACTGACACAAAATGGCAAGCTGTATTTCTTTATCAATGATTAGAGTGGAAGTTGTGATTTGTTTCACTCTCAGATTTTCATGAGTTACACCTGACATGATGCACATGTTAAAGCTGCAGTTAATTATTTCACACAGTTGTCTCTCTTTGTATTGTTCCAGTATATACAATGAAGATCGGAATCTTCTTCGCCGCCGAGCTTGGGAACAGAGGATCCAAGAAACTAGTCAAACCAAAGAACTTAACCCTGACAATGTGCCACTTTTTGGAGAACCATACAAGGTAAGAGCTGACAAAGCATGATGCTGATGGGGAGCTGGCCTCCCTGTTCATAATTTCAGACGTTTTTGTCCATCTTTGTGTGCAAACAAAGACGAGACATGTGCCAGGGCTTTTAATTTCTGTTTAATTTCAATGGGTTCAACTGAGTTTTAATCACCAAAACTGAACAGGTTCATTACCTGAGCAGTGTCTAAGCACAGTGTGTGAGAAAACAGTCTCTACTTCATGTCATTGTGGTAAATAATAAATGGACTGTACTTGTGTAGCGCCTTTCTATCCAACCAGGATACTCAAAGTGCTTTACACTACAATCTGTGCCCTCGTTTACCCACTCACACAGCAGCACTTTACTGAATCTCACTACAAAGCTAACACCTGTAAATCAACCTACAGAGACTAATCAGTGCTTTAAATCACATTCATACACTGATGGGACCCATATCAGAGGTAGTAGTGAGGGTTCAGTGTCTTGCCCAGAGACACTTTGACACTGACTGTGACTGAATAGTGGGGAATTGAACCACCAACTCTCGATTCCCAGGGGTTCTCAAACTTTTTGGGTCTGGGGAGCCCTTATAAGAGTGAAAAATTCCAGGGACTTCCTCGTGAACCTCATGCAGATTTAAAAATAAATTACTGGCTTTTCTACCTCTAAATGCCACTGGAATAATTTTTTTTTTGTTTAGTTTAGGATGTTTGTTAAAACCAAAATCAACATTTTGTTGTAATTTGTTGAGGACCCCCAAGCTACAACTTGTGAATCCCTGGGGGTCCTGGGAACCCAGTTTAAGAACATCTTCCTTAACCACTCAGCCACAGCTGCCTCGTTATGATGACGTACAAGAGTTCAGTTAAATTCATTGAAAGTTATTGAAGTGGAACCAGAACCACAAGTCATTTATGAACACAAATTCTGTCCTTGTCCTTGGGTCAGAATTGCAATTTTGACCAGTCATGTGCAGACTTAAGAGAGTTTTGTTATAAATAAATTGCTTATAAGTTATATATTTGTTGAACTCATCATAATTACAGTATAGTTCCTAAAGAGGCTTGTATACTTCTTTAGTTTTGGACAACATTTTCATAAGTTGTCTAATATAATGTGACCTTTGCAAGTTAATTTACTTAAGTATTACATAAAAGTGTTGTGAAAACGAGTTTGAATTGTGTGCAGCATAGTGGTGCAACATAAATTCCAAGCACCTGTCTACTGCAAAACCTATTTGGACAGTGGTTCAAAAGCGAGGTTTAAAGACATGAGAAGTAACAGTGGCAGGGGCTGTTTCTTCCAGAGAAATTGTAAGTGCTGAAAGAAACCAAGTTTGTTAAAATGGAAATCACTATGCAAGTGTATGAGAATGTGTGATAAATAAAATACAAAATAATAGGCCTTCTTGCACTGCTGAAAAGGAGAAAGCTTACCTGAATGAGCTTGAACAATATGTTACGAGGGAAATTGTGCAGAACAGTTTTGCTAATCGTTATTGTATTAAATTAGACTGAATTTAGTAGTTTATTTTAATATTACCATTTTCTTATTTTGTTGACATTTCAAATACATTAAAAATGTGTTTAAAGAAAATGAATTTATCATGAATTAACTTTAATGAAGGTAACTAAAAATTGATGCTATCTAAAAACATAGACTTTTTTTGTTTGTATTTGGTTGTGTGGATAGTGTCCTTCTCTTCAGCCACCTAATGACCTTAGTAACTTCTGTAACTAAAATAGCTCAAACTCTATGAACCCGGAGAGACTAAAACCAGGGTCTTAAGGTCATTGAAACTCTAGATGCTTCTCTTGAAGGTTATTTTTGTAAGGACACAATAATTTAACAAGACTTAAATGTACTTTGTGAGTTTGGATTCACCACTCTTCCTTTCTAGTTTTGTTGTTAGAGTAATGGCCGCTGTTAGGGGCTGTCTGTGTACATTTTTAAAATAAAATACATTTACATAGAAAATAGTGGCAATGAAAGTGAATTGTAAGAACCGCTAAGTATACATCGACTTTTATAAGCATCACCCCAGTCTGATGTCTGAAAAAGCATTTTTAGTAAAACAAAGGAGAATGTTAATGAGGACTTGATGATTGGGAGGTCTAGTTATCTCCTCAAATGTGCTTTTGGTATTAGTGTGGTACAGTTATTGTGTTTTTGGAAGTCCTTAAGGCCCCCACATACTTGGGCATACTTTGCTCCGCGAAGGTCCGTGCGGACTCAGTGCCAACCCAAAGCGGCCGTCCGCCGGACTGGTCCGCGCAGAGATAATTTTTTTATATCTGCGGTGTCGCACAATAAACTGCCTGGCGAGTACTGTTTTGGATGCGACACCAAGCTGATAAAGTTGAGAATTGGTGTCATTTGTGGACGAAATGGAGTCATTTTGAAGAGCGTCTCATGGAGGAGATTAGAAAACTTTTTGATGCGTCAATGAAGGTATATAAGGACTTTCATCGAGCAACAAATTTGTGAGGAAATGGCTCAGATCCTGGGTAAGCTAGTTCTTTTCTTTTTTCTTTTGTTTTAAAGCTAAAATGCAAGCTATCTCTTCCTCCTCATCTTTGACATCATGACAGAAATTGCGAGAAATTAAAGAATTTGTGAGGCATTCAGTACGCTCGAGTATGAAGTCTCAAACATCCGTGGGCAATATACGCGGAGTCCGTGCGACTCACGGACCACACACAGGACGCCCGAGTATGTGGGAGCCTTTACTGTAATAATGTTCAAATGGGGTTCTGTAAACTGAGATTTTGTTTTATTAACATGCGAAGTGTTTCATTTTGCAGACGACAAACAAAGGGGATGAGCTTTCCAATCGAATCCAAAGGATGCTGGGGAGTTATGAAGATGTGAATATCCCCTGTCCTTTTTCCATTGAGGCTTCACTCATTCCTACTATATCCTCACAGTTAGATCAGAGTCAGACAAATGAATATAAATTAACAAAAACCCCATTCCTCAATCAGGACTTTTACACATCTACCCAAAATAAGACTTCTGTTGACAGTTATTCCTCTCATCCTGTGGGGGTGCCTACTGCTGCATTGTCTCCAAACCACCATGAACATTTTCCCCCTTTTTCAAAGACTTCTCTGATCCACAGTTCAGTCACTCAGTTCAGTCACTCAGTACAGCAACAAAAGCAGAGTGAACTCTTGTCAGATCTCAGGGGATGTGTTGGCCTTCATCAGGAAATGTCTGCCCAGTCTCCAGATGCTAAGCCACTAAACCCCCTACATTCCACTGACCATAATATTGACATGGATACTAAGGCCACTTTCACTAGACATCAGCTCCAAGGTTCTACAGATTATTCCTCAGAGTCTGCCAGCACCATGGATGCTTCCACTCTGAACATCAAACATTCACCTAAAGATGCAGCTCTGTCTCAAGCCAAGACTAATGTACTACCCTCCCAAACGTTTTCTTCACTGCTTTCGTCCAAACAACCCGGGGCAGTCATGACCAAGAAACCAACAGCGTATGTGAGACCCATGGACGGTCTGGACCAGGTGGTCAGTGAGTCACCTGAGCTAAAGCCATCTCCAGAACATTATGCATCACTGCCGGACCTCATTAACAATGCTGACCTTGTCAAAACAAAAATAATGTCTCAGGATCTGGAGGTAAGTTTATTTTATTAGAGCTTGAATCGTAATAGTTTTCTTTAAATTTAACAAGGGATTATCTAGTAGGAGATCAAATACACTAGTTGTAGTGATAAAATAGTCTCTTTTTTTTAAAAACTTTTCATACTTTTTAGGGAGGGAAAGTGTTGTGGCAAAGTGTAGTGCAGTGTACTTTCCAAACAAGTATTGATACATGCTGTATTCACAAATAATAACTTGGCACGTAAGATTCTGGCCTAGACATAATCAGCAGTGCAGAAATTGGTAAGAGGTGTCCCAGAATTAAATTTGAGTATTGGATATCCAGTGAGACAGAAATGTATGTTTGCTTTTGTCCCAAGATTAGGCCAGGCTGTAGTGTCATTCTGCCAACCTTTGTTTCATTAGGTGTACACAGACCAAATGGTACTAAGGATCCTCTGAGGGTTACAAGGGTGTAGTCCCCCTGTTGAGTGGTTATACTGATCCCTTCATGCTGGATGACAGCCCAGTTATGATGTAAACAAATCTTCCAGAATGTGTGTTTTATAGCTAGCTCTTCTAGTGTGTGTTAGGAACACAGTTAGGAGTTACAGTGCAAGAGGTTTGCAGTGGTGCACAAATCCTCAGCATTGAGGTTGTGATGGTTTATCATTGTGGTGGTGGCAAATCAGGGTCCTGGGAGAAGCATGGAGGAGTGTGGTGGCACCAGTGAAAGCATGATAGCATGCTTTCATAGCGTGACAGCATGGGTCATGCACACACCAGTGTAGCTTGATAGTCGAGAATTTGGTAGGTCACAATTGCAATTATGATAAAGTCATGGAAAGAACCTACTGGAGACATGACACCATCGACAGTGTTAGCGTGGAGTAATCTTGTTGCAATTTGACACAGACTGAGAGAGTCCTGCCAGTATGAAGGGGGTTCTAAGAACCTGCACAGTGCTTACTCTCTAACCCTAACCTTTGAACATGCCTTTTTTAACATGAAGCCTTCCTGTTTGTCTTAGAGTACCCAGTATGATGCATTTGTCAAGAAGTCTGTAGACTGCTCCGGTGTGTGTGACTTCATCTGCTTCTAATACGTTCATTTCTGGCATCAGCTGAACAGCTTGCATAACTATGCCCGTGACTTGTTCATTCAGACTTTATCTTATGTACAGAAGAAAACACTGAAAGAGAAACCTGACAACTAACAGAAATATGGCTATGACTCATTCACACAGTTTTTTATTTATCTATATTGAGATTAGCTTGTTTCTCTGTCTCAAACTGCGTGTTCTGTCACTTTTTTAAAGCTTTTAAACTAAGACTCCATTGTGGTAATTTTATTATTTTTATTTAATCTTTATTTCACCAGGAAAATCCCATTGAGATTAAGAATCTCTTTTGCAAGGGAATCCTGGCCAAGACTGGCAGCAGTACAGGGTATTAAATTTGCTGTAGGTTTAAATATTTTAAATAAACAACATGGAAAGGTTTGTTTTGTTTTACAGTAAAGTCATTTACCATCCATTTTATGGTAAATAAAATTCACATTTGTCTCTTTGTACATGGCAGCTATGAATTATGTTCTATGCACTTTGTTTTTAATACTTATTTTCTAATATTTATTCTTTTTTATTTTGTTGCTTTAGACAGCTTCAGAAGAACTTGAGACTGTGGAAGACATCTTAAGGGTAAGTTCAGCTGCTTACTCTCATTTACACTTCAAGTGAAACTGAGCTTTTTAAGTTCATAAAAAGTTCATAAATTTCACACAATATTACACTGACATTTTACTGTTTAGCAAAACAGCAAACTGAAACTGACTATTGTAACAAAATGAAAACTATAAACACTTCTGAAATAAAAAGGAGTCCGTACTAAAGCAACAGATTATGTTAGTTTTTCCTTGGTAAAATATTATATAAGTGGGTTTAAGTGACTTGTAAACAAATTGCTTTAAGTTGTATTTTGCTTAATAATATTTTTTGCATTACAAAGTGCTTAGAGTTTGAGGTTGTATGATAACATCATGCTGCACATTGTAAAAATTACCAACGTTCTATGAATCCGGCTCCAGTATAGATGCAAAAAGGATTGTGAGTTTTAAAGGATATTTCTGGATAATTGTACTGTGCTGAATAGAATGGAGCATCTTTGAACATACACTGCTCAAAAAAATAAAGGGAACACTTAAACAATGCAGGCTAACTCCCGATCTTAATCAATGAAATATTCGCATTGAGTACTTTGTTCTGTACAGAGCTGAATGTGCCTCACAAAAGTTTGATTTACTTGGAATTAGCGTGCGTTGTTTAAGTGTTCCCTTTTATTTTTTTGAGCAGTAGTGTTCCCTTTATTTTTTTGAGCAGTGTATTTTCCTGATTATGTCTGATGTTTGTCCTCACAGGAAATGACTCAGTCATGGCCTCCTCTGCTGACCGCTGTACACACACCTCGCTCTGCTCAACCCTCCAAATCTCCATTTCCAGCCAAGGTGAGAGGTCAGAGATTGATATTAAACTTCGGTTTTCCAATTACTTCACTGCACATCTTAATGCATTCTCCAGCGCATTTTGAAATATCGCATTAGAAAAGGTAAATGGAAACGGCACAATCTGAAAAAAACTTCCTCTATTTTGCAAAAACGTTTTTGCTTGAGGTGGTTTTTGGATTTTTCGAAGAAAGTTGATACGCAAAAGGGGAGATGGAAACCAAATAAGTTCTGACGTAGCGAACATTTTCCTCACAGGATTGATCAGCTGTTCCGCTGACTGTCCAGTACTGGTACCAGCTGCAACTGGACCCTCCTCCCGCTGTCGGCATTTTCTCAGATATTCCCATAATGTGGAGTGTAGGGGTATTAAACACTAAAATTCTAAAATGGATAATTTGTGAATTATTTAAACATGCAAATTATCTGTTTTTTGAGGCACCACTCTAAATATGAAGGCGTTTAATTCTTCCAGTTTAATGACAGCGTGAGACAAGGAAATACAGGCGAAGACAACTCACGTTTGGAAATTCATCCGTGTATTATTTAAAATGAGGTTCAGAGGGAAATATATGCATTACAAATCATTTCACAGACAAAAACACACTTTATAATCAGTTCCGTAAACTTAATCAAGAAGTGATGTAATTAATCTGGCATGATTACCATGTGAATGACTTACTACACATACACTCACCGGCCACTTTATTAGGTACACCTGTCCAACTGCTCATTAAAGCAAAAGTCAAATCAGCCAATCACATGGCAGCAACTCAATGCATTTAGGCATGTAGACATGTTCAAAACGAGCATCAGAATGAGGAAGAAAGGTGATTTAATTGACTTTAAACGTGGCATGGTTGTTGGTGCCAGACAGGCTGGTCTGAGTATTTCAGAAACTGCTGAGCTACTGGGATTTTCACCCACAACCATCTCTAGGGTTTACAGATAATGGTCCACAAAAGAGAAAATATCCAGTGAGCGGCAGTTCTGTGGGCGTAAATGCCTTGTTGATGTCAGAGAATGGCCAGACTGGTTCAAGCTGATAGAATGGCAACAGTAACTCAAATAAACACGAGGTATACAGAAGAGCATCTCTGAACACACAACACGTCGAACCTTGAGGAGGATGGGCTACAGCAGCAGAAGACCACACCTGGTGCCACTCCTGTCAGTTAAGAACAGGACAATGAAGTGACAATTCACACAGGCTCACCAAAACTGGACAAAAGAAGTTTGGAAAAACGTTGCCTGGTCTGATGAGTCTCGATTTCTGCTGCAACATTCAGATGATAGGGTCAGAATTTGGTGTCAACAACATGAAAGCATGGATCCATCCTGCCTTGTATCAACAGTTCAGGCTGGTGGTGCAATGGTGTGGGGGATATTTTCCTGGCACATTTTGGGTCCATTGGTACCAACTGAGCATCGTGTCAACACCACAGTCTACCTGACCATGTCCATTCTTTTATGACCACATGTCCATCCCTTTATGACCACAGTGTACCATCTTCTGACCATGTCCATCCCTTTATGACCACAGTGTACCATCTTCTGATGGCTACTTCCAGCAGGATAACGCTCGATGTCATAAAGCGTGAATCATCTCAGACTGGTTTCTTGAACAGAACAATGAGTTCACTGTAATCGAATGGCACCACAGTCACCAGATTTCAATCCATTAGAGCACCTTTGGGATGTGGTGGAATGGGAGATTCTTATCACGGATGTGTATCTGACAAATCTGCAGCAACTGTGTGATGCTATCATGTCAATATGGACCAGACTCTCTGAGGAATGTTTCCAGTACCTTGTTGAATCTATGTCACGAAGGATTAAGGCAGTTCTGAAGGCAAAAGGGGGTCCAACCTGGTACTAGCAAGGTGTACCTAATAAAGTGGCCGGTGAGTGTACAGTGGGACACTACTCGCTATTTCTAAGCCTACTGCTAGAGGGAGCTCAGGGGAAGAAGAATGAACATTGATTGTACTCTGATCTGATTTAAATCTTTGAACACACCATCAGATTAACTGAGCAAGATGTTTCCCACCGGCAAAGTTGTAGACGCCAGAATGGATACTTCTAGGTTAATTGGGTGGCACTTGAAGTCCAACCGAGTCTTAGCTGTGCTGTGTAGAAGTTCTCTGGTCATCTGGTTTGCTGGCTGCATTCACTGGATATGTTGTCCAGCACACAGCTGCGGCTGCTTCCTTGCGAGCACACTGAGGTCGTCCGACTTGAATTAAATCAGCCTCATCGTTTTAATCAATGTAAATCTACTTCCTGGAAGCTCCTTAAGAYTAAACTATAAAAAGTAAAAAGTGGAAAAGAATGGCCTAGCTCGCCCCGGGATAGGGGAAGCTGGAGCTAAAAAAACTGCTTTCTCCTCAAAACGCTTCTTTAGAACTCACTACATGGCAGAACAATGAAATACTCCATGTTCACAACGGAACTTCTCATTGGTTAAGACTTTCTGCAGTGGTCACATGACACCCTCCAGACATGTAACAGAAGAACAGAGTAATAGTTAATCAACCAGATCAGGTTACTTAAACAATGTCATGATTATTACAGTAATTAAATCAGAGTACCAAGGTATTGGTTTGACACTTCACAGATGGTTTTTTTTGGTTATAAACGGAAAACATGGGTGACAAATAAATAAAATATTTTCAGGGTGGCGTTGCTGACCCACAGATAAATCTGATGGGAGTCTTTTGATGTGTCTGTCTTGGTTTAACACCAGGGGCACTTTGATGTCAAACAATGTTTATTCCAGCCTTATCCTGAAAGAGGTGATAAACCAATTAACTGGCGACAGGAAGTCTAGCCTTCGTTCTAAGGCCTAAGGGTGAAGAATCAGATGAATTAACAGGAGTCCTTATTCAAACTTTAAGATGTTGCAGGCAGGATGAAAAAGGTGGAGTTAACAGGACTGTCTCTTGAAGATATTCATATTTCCACTACAAGAGAATAGCATTTCTTACTCTACTTCTCCAGACAGCGTGTAACATCACCAAAACTAGTTGATATGACAGAATAATTACAACTTTCCCAATAGTAGCAACATATTCCTGATAACTTTTTTCCATTGTCCTGAGATGTGTATCTCTGCGAGTTTGCAACTTCTACTTCCGTTTACTACAGCCATGCGTAAAGTCTGACATAATTACATGTTGTGTAGCCTGGTTGATTCACTCAAAGCCAGTAGATGGAAACATGTCTGATTCACATCCCCCCCCCCCCCCCCACACTTTTTTGCAACATTTTAAAAGTTCACTCAAAATTAAAATTAAAATTGGATGGAAACACGGCTACTGAAACCGCAGAGATTTTATTCTTTTTTTCCTAATGTAGGTAAGATTGTCATACAATGTCACGGTTAAAACACAAGCCCTTATTTTAAATTTATTTATTTATTATTTATTTATTTATTTATTTATTTATTTATTTATTTATTTATTAAATGACCCCTATGTATCTATGAACATATTTTTACAACACGAGGGGAAAAAAGTTTGTAGTTAAATCAGCATTTATTCTTAATCATTCTTAATCAGTTTAAACCTAATATGCCCTCTGAGTAAACCCTTCTAAACGTAATGACCTCAAAGACTAATAAAACAAACTATGTTGATAAAGCGTGTACTGATTTACTGCAAAAACAGATTCAAATGTACTCATATTATTTTGGTGTGTGTTGACAGGAGGCCGAACAAATCCCACCATGTCCAGAACAAAGTGAGAATAGAACCTTACTTAGTTCATCAGAATCTTCTTTGTCACATCTGTAATGTGTCTTTTATGTTTTTACAAATCTATAAAATTTTTATTGTAAGACTAATATTTATCTCACTTTTTTTTTGGTGTCACATTTTTTAATAGAAAATCCTTCTGAAGATCTGTCTCAGTTCATGCAGCGCTCCTCAGTGTAAGTGGTATTTTATATATTTTTTTATTTATTTTTTTACATCACGTCTTGCCTGGCCCTTGCCTTCCTACGCAGCTCCGCTCAATTCTAGTTTCCCTTCACTGCTCCGTCTGGGATTTCTCCCATAGACAAGGATTTCTTCAGGAGAATTTCGTTCGGGCCAATTGGAGAACAGAAGGCAGAGTTTTGAACGACAACGTCGGTTTTCTGCGCAGTGTCTGCTAGTTATTTTAGCATACGGCAGTGGAGGGAAGTGAATGAAGCCAGTCCGTGTTGATAAGACTTCCAAATTAAAATAAATTTGTCTGACAAAGCAGCAGCTCTCATTTACAGCTGTCTCGTTCGGCTCGGTACTTCTTTCCTCTCAGTAGGGTTGTTAACAGCGCACACAATTTCCGATTAGCTTCTTAGCTTAGCCTCCTTCTCAGTGGAGCTGCAACACATACGTCACGGCCAACCGATCCAATCATTTCAAACTTCAACAGAGGTCACGCCTCCAGCAAGAATCGCTTCTCTATAGCCGACAGTCCAGACCCTCGTACGAAGCAAAGCGAAGGACAAGGGTCTGGTTTTTACCAGGCTACATCACGTCAGGATTTCATGTTGAGACATTCATGTTCATTCGTTTAATTTGTCTGTATAAATTAAGTACTTCAGTTTTTCAATGTAACTTGATAAAAATTTTCCTGAACCAGGCAGAACCAGTTGATTTATTTATTTTTTACTGAAATAATCAACTAATAAATAATCAACTTCTGCACACAGAACTCAGAACTGCTAATGTTTTTATTTATTACGGTTAGTCACAAGTTGATAAATCACATAAAAGAAAAAAAATGAAATGCATATTTTATTTCCCACAGTCTAAGGTAAACCACTCGCATAGTTCACATTGTTAGTCCAGCAGTTGTTGTTTTTTTAGACCAAAATAACTACGCAATACAATAGTCATCTGTTTAAGGTATCATTGTGTAGTGGTTTATAAACATTTAGAATTTACTAACTAGAGTGAATCATTTTATTCTTTCAGCAAGTTTTACAAATGTGCTGCTTTTATATCTGTGTTTTAGTCCGATGAAAGCTGCACATTCCAGCAGTGCAGAGACGTCGAGCTCCAGTGAGTCAGAGAACAGCCGTGAGTCGGACAGTGAAAGCTCCGCCGAGGAGCCACCTCAACCAGCAGAAGTCAGCTTAGTTAAAACTGAGGTACTGTATTACTTTAGTCCATTCACAGAATAAAGAACTTGTATGTTCTGCATTTTCTAAATCCCTTTATTTATAATTTAACAGCCCAATGCTCCTGCAGTGAATCAAGGTGACTGGCAGCTGGTGCACTTTATCAGGTCCAGTCAACAGAAGTCCAAACCTAATGTGTCTGTCTCTGAGAGCGCCGCTCACAAGCAGCTGCCCACTCTAAGCTCCAAGCAAAGCAATGGAGACACCAGTAAGGAGTCTGTGCTTTCCCAACACCAGCTTCATTTTCAACAAAACGACTTTAGAGACGACCCTGCCGCTCCCCAGCGGTGCAATGAAATCCACCAGAACAACTACCTCTGCCAGCAGAGTGGCAAAAAGTCCATGTCTCCTAAAGCGAGCAGCTGTAAAAAACCCTCAAAACTCTTAAAACAAACTACAGGTTATTTGAATCGCACTGAAGCTGCACTCAGCGTTGAGTGTGAGGACACTACAACCACCCAAACAAAAGAGCCGTGTCTTACAGACAGACCCAAAGTCAAGATGAAAACTGGGCATGGGAAGAAGGGCAGCAGTGACACTAAAAAAGATGCTGAAAGGACTAAATACACCAAAGTTGTTGAGAAGCAGAAGGCTGGATCAGATGTCCAACCTCTGCTGTGCAGTCACTGTCCATTGTGTGGTGTGAGCCCCTGTTCCTGCCCCGCCCAGGGTCCTGCTCAGTCTCCTGCCCCGCCTGTCAAAATGAACTGTAACAAAACCAAGAAAGATTCTTTGCAACACAGCAGCAACAAGGTACCTCACAAACCAACCCTCAAGTGCTTGAAGAAGTCTGGGCATACAGCCAAGACTTCCCGAGACAAACTCCAGCCCCCTACATCCCTGCTGGTAAAGATGGACTTAAATCTGCTTGCAAGGGTACCCCAGCTGTCCACCATTCCCAAAGGGACTCCCAGCAGTGCAAAGAGACCATCTTTGGTCATGGAGCAAGATGAAGGGGGCAGTGATGCACGCAAACACACCAAAACCTTCAAAAAGACCCAAAATGTGAGTAATATGAAAGGCTAAGGCTGCACATAAAGGGGAAATTTATTTTAATATGTTATTATTTTCAATTTAGGTTGAAGAGGAGAGTAAAGTAATCCCCAAAAAGAAACGGAAGCTGGATAAGAGCATCTCATCTTCTTCTGTGAAAGTAGAGTATGTCTTGCACCTTTGATAACCACGGTTTTGCTCTTCATTTCACAATGAGGGCGCACAATCAACTCTGACCTCATCCTTTACAGAAGTTCCACCAAACCACCAAGGCCCCAGGTGCAAAAGAAGTCCAAGAAACATTTTCAGAACCCAGCAACATCCAAAGATGCTTCCACAAACTCAAAGGCACACGGTCAGTGCTCTGAGATAGCACAAAAGCCCAATAAGGAGGCTGGAAAAGGCAAAGATTCCCACAGAAACAAGTTGAGCAATGGAAAACCTGTACAGCGCACACGTAACGTTAAGGTAACTGTTCAGACAAAATGTTCTCACTTTTAAATACAATAACTGCCAATTTAACAGAATACTCTCCATGATCCCACCAGAAAGCATCAAAAAGCAGCTCTGTGGAAAAGTCAACGACCCGACCCATCAGGCCTCTCCTCACGTTTGATGAGAGGTAAGATTATGAAGAAGATGACGACAAAGTCCCAGTCGTCTTCATTTATATTCTTGGTTTTCTCCTTTTTGAACCACAGACAGTACCCAGTGAAGTATTACATAAAAGAGGCTAAAAAGCTGAAGCACAAAGCAGATGCAGAGGTATGTTTACCTTTTTAGCTATGTGGTAAAATGTACGACAGTCGACACAAGGATGCATGTAATCATGTAATCGCTTTGTTTTTATTTAGATGGATAAGCTTAGCAAAGCCTTCAACTACCTGGATGCAGCCATGTTCTTTGTAGAAAGTGGGATAGCCATAGACAAAGACCCCCAGATTTCAACATCTTCCTACACCATGTTTGCAGAGACGGTGGAGCTTCTGAAGTAAGACATCACTCCTGTTAATAACCAGCAGCATTTTCTACTAACTTTGTTATTCTGTCGATTAGAGCCACTAATTGCACTTAGATTCTTTTTTTTAGCTTTTCAGTTCTAATTAATGATAAAGTTTAGACCAGAGTACAATATTTTAACAGAGGGTTTGCTTTTTCTCACAGATATGTACTGAAACTAAAAAACCCAGCAGATTCATCTGCTCCAGCCTCTGAAAAGGACTTTATAGCGTTATGGTATGATGATGATGATGTTTGTGTGTTGAATGTTCGCCTAACCCCACTGTGAAATGTTAATGTTTGGTTTTACACATGTGTTAACTCGGAGGTATGATTAATGGTTTAACACTCTGTGGTTGAATTGTATCACAAATATCTCGTAAGGTTAAATGAAGAGCAGTGATGTGGAAGGAATTTCTCCATTTATTCATCTGTCGCTCTGTGACATATAGACACGACACCAGGGTCAAGAGACATTGGCCAACGTATGCAGAACGTTACACCATCTTGACGCAATCCTCTTACAGGCACAGGGATATACTGTATAAATTACGTAAATAATGCTGAGTACCTATGAAAAAAATTTATATAAAAATTTATTTAATTAATTTAATTAATACTGTATACATACATACATTACATTACATGTATTGTAGAATACAATTACACAACCAGATGCATTGAAAACAAACTTTACCAACTGAGAAAAAAAGACTTATTTTCAATGACAAACCTGTCAGAAAAGTAAACTAGACAGAAATTGTTTTTCTAGGGGAGGAAATCAAGCGGCGGAGCGAGTTAAATTAAAACTCTGTAAATAAGCCATACTGAGATGTTCCAAAGTACTGATTGCTGAATATAGTTGTGAAAAAAGATTTGCTTGCCTTTTTTTAAATTTAATAAAATCTGACATTTTTGATGTTCATTAACCCCTAAACATTAATTTAATTGTAAGAAAATTTAGTGTTCGTTAACTGAAATCCTGACGAAACCACATGAATGTTGAACAGATTAAAATATGAAGAGAATAGACCATACAATACAAGTTACTGGAGTGAACGGTGGTTTAATGCTGTTTGTTCAGGCATGGAACCAATGCTGCTAGAAAACCGGAAGTCCCGGTTTATACAGTAAATACACGGGTCTTCAGTGCCTGGTACTCCCACTGCAGGCCTACAGCTGAATCGTAGGCACTCGTACAAAAAACATCTTTCCTTATGTGATCTTAATGGTTTTTCTATGTGTTGTCATAGTGTTTTTGGGCATGTAACTAAAACTATTTCAATCAAGGCATTATAATTGTTAAATAGATTATAAGAATCAATACTTAAAAAGGAAAACTTTGGAAATGGTGTAGTGCTTTTAAAATCAGTATCTAACATGACTAATAAATTTCTTCATAATGGTGTAAAAAAATTTAAGCGCATGGAGGAACACTGAATGGTGATGTTCTTTATTTTAGATGAGAGCAGACCAAATATGTTTAACTCCTCATTTTCTCTTCGTTAGCTTAAAGTGCCAGGCTCTCCTGCAGATGGCCATGTTTCGTCACAAACAAAAAACTGCACTGAACTTTTCAAAAACCCTCACCGATCACTTTAATGTAAGTAAAGTTCCGCCTTTCTTCTCATTAAGGGATATTTAAGTGTCCAAAAGGAGTTTGTGTTTCAGAACTCTGCTCAGGCATCACACAGTCTGCTCAGCAGCACGTCCTCTCCAGCCGCCTCATCAACCAGCTCAGGTCCGGGATCAAACCAAAGCTCCAGCAGCCTGCAGGGGGTGACGGTTCCTCAAGAGATCGAACAAATGGCGTTCTCCTACGTCAGCATCACTAGTTTATTCTTAACTGCTCAGGACATCTGGGAGCAGGCGGAGGAAGTGGCTCACAGAGGCAGTGGTAAGAAGGAACAAGGTTTTTTCAACAATAATTCAGACTGTTCATTCAAATGATGAGTTTATTCACAAAAGGCAGTTAATGCAAAGGTTTTAACTAATGCTTTTATAGCTTTCAGTTTCTCTACATACGACTTAATCCTCAGTAAAACATAAGTTTAGATGTATTTTCTTTTTGAATATGTGAAGTTAAAAATTTAAGTTTAGTTTCACAAAACATTTCAGATCTGTATAACTAATTTATTATGCCCTGCCTCAAATTTACAAGCTGTTTTGTGATAAAATTTGCTAATGTGTGGATGTTAAGAAATCTACCATAAAACCTCAAACAAGCAGGACGACTTGTTGTGTTTCTGGACATTTTATTTCAGAAGATAAAGCGAATCTGTGTGACATACTGTAGTCAAAAAAATGAGTGAGTCTTCTGATCTTTCATTGTCCAAAATATTGGGTCTGTGAAACATCTGGAAGTGTCTGAACATCTGGTCCTTGATTATTAGCAACCTTTTACAGGACACATTGTTGCAGCAGATTATCAGCTCTTTCCCACAAACCAAACACCAGCTGTATGAACAGATGAACAAACCAATCTATCAATGTTGAATAAGAATTTCAGGATTTTTATCTTGTCTTTGTATTGTGATGTTTCAGGTTTGTTATCAGAGCTGGATGCTGTTCTCGGCCCACTGAGCCTGACGTCCAGTATGAGCTCTATGATCCGCTATGTAAGACAAGGTGTCCACTGGCTTGGGCTGGACAGCCAAAAGGTATGAAACTGGAGCTCCATCTGACTGACCTGAAGGCTCCTTCCAGATGTTGACATCTGTGTTTCACTTTCATTTTGCCAATAAAATTCATGCCATGTAATTACTTTGCCAATTAGGAGATAGTACAAAATAATACACTTGAGTTTTTTTTTTTTTTTTTTCATTTTATTTTGAAAACATGAAACATAATGGTGCCTGTTCTCATCTGAACTCTTCACCTATTTCTGTTTTTTTATGACAGTTTTCAAATCGTGGTGTTTTTCAGGAGTAGCTTTTATGTGTTAGGAAGCAAATCAGAAATGATCAAAAGTGCTACTTTGAGTTTCGGTGATTCTGGGCTGTGGTGCGAGTCATGAGTCATTTATTTTTATAACTTCTGTTAGTATTGTGACTTTGGATTGGACTGCAATCAGAAAAATGTGGCACTTAAATTAGTTTGGGACTCCAACTTATCTCTTTAAAGTTTCAGTTCACTTAGGTCCTGTTTTTTACTGTATTACTGACACATTCTCTCATTCCGCTGGCTTTATTTCTTCAAACATTTGTCTAAAATCAGATTTTCACTGTTTTGTTGCATAAAAAAATGTTTGTTGCCAAAAGTGCCACCCATTTATATTATTAAATCAAACTTTAATTTATGAAATTTACCTAATCCTGTGTTGAAAACTGTTATATATAATTTTTTGTGTGTGCAATAATAATAATGAAAAATGAACTGTGCCTTAGTGTTGGGTTGAACAAGATGTTTCATATTTTTTTGTCTGATGCAAAACTCCATGTCTTTCAGGTGTAATAACAGCGTTCTTTATTTCAAAGCACAAAATGTCTCTTATGTCTTAATTTGTCCTGCTGCTGTTCTGCTGCGACGGATGATCAGAAAATGTGGGAGCTGAGGCACATTTTGTAAGATTGGGGATGATGGTGAAGTTTTCTAGCTGTTGATTAGTTTCTCAAAGCAGACTTTTGTTTTATATTCTAGTTGTTCTCCTTCAAGAGGAAAATTATGTACATAATGCAAAGACAATGATCCTCAAACTGAGTTGCTGTATGTAATCTTGTCAAAAATCTTTTTGAGTTTTATCACAGAAACTGTACCGTGGCTCAAAGTTCAATTAAAACTTGTTTTAGTTGCTCTTAGTCATAATGGTACTAAAATGTTTTTGTATCTGCTGGCTTAACCTCACTAACATCTGTCATGTTGTGTGATCTGTATGAGTGAACAATAGGTATGATGGCTACGTCTTCAGTTTTTACATCATTTAAAGCAGATCAACAGAGCTGCTGTAAGAAGTGGCCTCTGTGTTTCTGATGCATAGTTTGCTATGTTAACTAGATTATCATATTTGGATTTGGCTGGCACCTAAAGATGTCCTGATGTTGTCTTACCTCAGTGTTGCTCTTTCATATCAAGTTTTCTTTACAATTTAAAAAGAGGGAAATCATTACAGAACTAAAGGGATGGATAAATAGTGTTTTTTTTTTCATTGCGTTTTTCATGTAATGCTGGACATCAGCCATAGTTGTTGGTATTTAATAATGTTGAGACACCTGCAGTTTGGTTTTAAGCGGAAACCCTGGTAATTAAATCTGTAGAAGTGGAATAAAAGGAAAATAAGTAGTTTTCAGTAGATTTTTGTAGGTTATGTCAGGTTTTTTGTGAAGACCGACTGGACTGTGCTAGTTATGTTTGACTCAAAGCAATAAGACCTTTTTAAGCTGGTGACGTAGGTATAAGTTCTTGTTTGTACACGGGATTTAGTATCAAAAGTGGCATTAGGCTTTTGTTGTCTCTGCAGTTAGATGAAACATGAAGCAAGGATCAGAGTGTTCATTTACTCTGTGATGAAGTGATTATTTTATAGGAACGACAGAATACACTGGTGTTAATTATTTTTCTGTATTTTCAGCAGGCTGCTGTAGAACAATCAGTTTAATATGAGATGTCTGCTCTGCACTGGAATGCAACACATGGCATTTGTTGAGTACAACTCTTTTTTTTCCCTGTACTTCTTGTTTGGAGGCTTTTTGTTAAATTTGTGACTGTCCTTGCAACTGACTGAAAATGTTCAGAAATACGCTCTCCCCCCACCACCCATTTTGAGAACAATGTTAATGTGTTGCGGTGTACGATGATGAATAAACACTGGAAACTTTATTTACTCTTGGTTTATTCATGTTTTATTTGAAATAAGTTTGTGTAGCAGATGACAGAAGAATTATCTGTTTATAACATGACAAAATATTTGCCACATTTAGAAGATAAAGCAAAATATTTATATTCAAATTTATTTTATGTACAGTACCTGATTCTTTAAAAATCAAACTTTATAAAAATTATTTAAAAAAATGAAATGTTTACTTAGACAAACTTCATGTTTATGTGTCAGATTCTCCTACGAAGTTGGGGTTGCTGAACGCCGGCTGAAACAGAAAGGACACATCTTACAATTAGCTTCATAAAAACAAATTTCCGTTCGTAGCCACAATGTGTAGTTTAACTCACCACATCAACTTTACTGGTTGTTCTTGTTGGTAAGCTCAGGCTGCTCAGTTTGTATCCGCGCACTTTAAAGACAAAGTACAGTCCTCCAGCTATCAAGCAGACCAAGACAATGGCTCCAATGACGGCACCAGCTATGACCCCCGCTTCATCTGGACAGAAATGAGTCGAACATGTCAACAAGGCTCATCTCTTTTTAGATTAGCATGACCTCTTTTTCTTATGAATTTCTCTTTTACCATTGCAAAGAATTACAGTTTGACCTGCCAAAGCACTGCCGTAAAGAAAATGTGCCTAAGGTGTGGAACTGACAAAGGCTGCGGCCAAAAAATACATCCTTTTGCCCCGATTTGAGGAACGGGTCCAACGAATCCTTCTCAGCCCACCCTATTCCAAGATGCACTGCGTCTCAACCAAGAGATTTTTTTATTGCATGTAATGGCGGACGAAGAAAGAGTAAGAAGTACAATTTTAAATAAAAATCTAGCGGTGTAAAATTTTTAAGTTTTAAAGCAGTTGTGTTGTTGGGCTTTTTATCATTTGCCTGTTTAATATTCTTCGGAAATCACTATAAACAAGCTCGTATGGTGGGTCCCTTAATTCCTCAACTATTGCCTCTAAGTTAATTTGGTTGATATTAATATTTTACTAATTTTGCTATATTTTTTTGCTTTTGTTTAGTGTTATCCTATGTATCCTCCCTGGCCTGTGAATGCCTTGTGGTCCCCCAGGACTATCTGGAAAGCGTCACTGGGGAAAAGGATGTCTGGGTTTCTCTTCTGGACCTCTTTACTCTGTGACCCAACTTTGGACAAGCGGTAGAAGATGGAGATGTTTAGCATTGTCACAGCTGCTAGGCATCAGGGCATATGCTGGGGTAGGTGCAGGAATAAAGCTGAAGTTAGACCATCTAAATTCACAGCCACTTTCTTCCGGTCTTCGGTCGACAAATCATTTGAAGGATGTGGCCAAGGCCGCCTAACAAAATCAAGTCAATATTGACCAACAAAAAAAAAAAGTTTTATCAGCTGCCCTGATTTCCAAAGATCAGCCTGTACCAAAGAAAAGTCTATACCTAAACCCTCCTGCTGCCCTTGGGTCAAAATTAACAAATTGGTCTTTTTTCTTTTATCACTTACTGGATCCGGGATCATCAGTGGGGTAGATGGGGTGTTTGTTATCATCCGTTGTGTAGACTGAAAGAGAGTTTCGTATAAAACTTCAGAAAACAGGATTTTCAAAACACTAAAGCTGTAGAAAGGACAAAGCCTTACACTGGCGGTGGCGACAGACGAAGCCTCTCTTCATCAGACAGTTGTTGTCATTCCACCGTCCATCTTCATACATCTCCACACAATTCTCCTCGGCTACTTCCCCAGGGTGGAAGGCCGAGTTCGGCTCATCGGGAGCCCAGTTGAGGAAAGCCACGGGCGTTTTATCCGTCCAGCCCCAGCCAACTAAAGAGCCAAAGAGGTCATGTAGGCGTCATTGTTTTTGTTCCTAAAACTCTTAATGAACGTGAACGTGTTGCTGTTGGGCTTACAGTTTCCGTCCCTGGTGAGGCCGATCCAGATGTTGTGGTTTTTAGTGTAGTTCATGTTCCTGATGAACTCCAGCTCTGCTCTGCTGTGAATGGAGGCCAGCTCAGTCCGGAAGGACTGGCAGAAGTGTCGGGCGTTTGGCCAGGAGAAGCCCTCCTTCTCATTGTGCACGTAGTAACAGTGGCGGCCGTAGGGAACCCAGTACTTCAGACACTGCCCATCACCGGGGCCGGGAGTCGGTGGCGGTTTCTCTGGGAGACGATGTATATCATAAATGTTAGCTTTTATAATAACTTTAGTTCTCAATGAGCCCAGTTCTTGGTCGTACCTGAGGAGATCTTGCAGATGTAGGGCTTAGCTTGGTCACATTTGGTATCATTCCAGGTCCCGTGGAAAAAGATTGAAGCGTGCATATTAACGCAGCCCTCGTCCTTGATGTTACTGGGCTCTCCCGGTCCCCACTGAGTGAAGAACACAGGCCAGCCATCTGACCAGCTGTACGAGCCATCCTCCTGCATCACAACACAAATTTATCTCTTTATTTAGACATTTTCTGCTTTCTACATTCAGATTATTAGGTTTTTTTTCTGATCTGCACCTTGCGCCTGAGTCCGATCCAGGCATCGGCTTTTCCTTGAAGGACGACCCCGGCGACGAAGGCCTGGTCGTAGCTCATGTCGATGCTGGCCAAGTTGCCGCCTTGCGCCTGGCAGGCTGCCTGAGCGGCGTCCCAGGTGGCCGGCTCCTCCACCAGTTTGTAGCAGTTGTGGTACCAGGAGATGTAGCCATCAGGGCAGGGGTTCTTGGTTGGGGGAGGAGGTGGGATGCTGCTTGCTGATGAGGAGGAATATAAAGAAATAGTTGGCTGTGGGGGACATGTCTCCTGAAATTAACTGAGCCGTATCGGGCTTACATTTCTTCATGGAGCAGACGAAGCTGTGATTGCTGTGACAGGCGTCGTCGTTCCATTTGCCACTAGAGAGCATGTTGTGAGTTATTGCCACACAGCGTTCCTGTTGAACAGACAAAACGAAAAGAAAAAGATCACCGACTGGCCTTGGAGTGAAAGTTTTTACTCCACTTTTAAAACCTTAATTGATTTAAAGAACATTTTCCTCACAGATCCTCCTGCATTGTTGGGCTCATTTTGATCCCAGTTGGTGTACAGCACCGGGCTGACCCCGTCACTCCAGGCGTACTGGTTCTCCCCATGTGCATCCCACAGGCCTATCCAGGTGGGGAGCCTCAGGTCTCTCAGGTAACTAGCGACAAAGTCTGGGGAAGCAAACGATCAGCAGTGAGTCTGATAAATTCTCTCAGGTGTTCTTGTAAAACATATCTGCTGGGCTCACCATTCTCATACTGGTCATCAATAATGGCCAGCACTCCTCCTTCGTTTCTGCACCAGCTCTGAGCATCAGACCAGTTTGCTCTGATGCCATGTTGGTGTCCTTTGAACATGAAGCACTTGTTCCTAAATCGCAACCAACCTGCAAGGAAGTAAATTAGCTTTTAAGTAGATGAATTGTACAAAACAATTTAACCAAGATTATTTGGTAAAAATCTATTAATAGAACAAATGGACTAAAAGTCTAGAACACTCTAACTTAGGTCTTAAATGAGATGAGTCCATGATAAAGTCAGGACTAATCAGGATGATTCTAAACAAAGACTGACAATAATCCTGGAACATGCCTAGTATATCTAGTGTAAGGCAACACTAGTAAGACAAAAATATTCTCATTGAAACCAGTTTAAAGCTGCTTAGGAATACCTGCTGTAGGAGTGTATTTTAGTTTTTTTTTTTAGTTTAGTTTTATTCATTCATTTTTATTAAAAAAACACTAAATAAATTCTATATACAATAAAAATACAAATCATAAATGAAAGGTAGCAGTAGAAGAAAAAAAATCTTATATCTTACCCTTATCTCGAATAAATAAATTTAAATAAAATAGTCTTCAAATAACAGAAGAAAATAAATAAAAGGTTAAACTCTTAGAACAACTCTCATAAATACACATTATACCATTACATATTTCTCCAACAGACTAAAGCTTTATCATTCTCTTAAATACACCATTGATTTGGCATTTTTAACGCCATCTTCCAGACTATTCCATAATCTTATTCCTTGGATTGAAGTACACCGTTCCTTCAAAATGGTTCTAAATTTAGGTTTAACAAACATCTCTGTCCCCTTGAGATAGTAACAACTAGTGTGTAATTTTCCAGAGTGTCAGTGGAACAGACTAATATCAAAAGCCTTTAGAGAAATGTAATGGAGTAAAAGTAAAACATACTCAAAGTACACATTCTTAAAAAGTGTATTTAAGTACAGTATTCAAGTAAATGTACATTGTTACGAGGTATATAAAGTACTTCAAAAGGTAAAAATAAAAATACCTTAAACAGAAAAACGACTGGTAAAAATTTAATTTCGCTGTAAGAAAAGTACCGAAGAAATTAGGTGCTGAATTTACCAAACTGGTTCCACTATACAGACTTGACTAAACTACATTTACTCAACTGGATTTAGTGGAACCAGTTGATATGACTTGGTTAAGTAAATTCAACACATCACTTTTTAAGGTTCACAATCATCTCATTTCATGAGCTCGGTCATAGTTAAATTTGTGACTAGGTGTTACATTTTATAGTAAAGATGTAAAAGTATAAACTTTTAACAGAATAAAAGTAAAATTTACAGTTTAAAAATTCTTGATTAAAATTACAAATCCTGCAAAGGTTATTCAAGTACTGTAATGAAGTAAATGTACTCAACTACTATACACCTTTTTGTTTCTGCCCACCTCTGGTTAACAGCCGGACTTTATTATAATAAGGGAAGAAATTATGCAAACAAGAAACTCTGCAGATTTTACCTTTACTACAGTAAGCAGTGCTTTAAATTTGTTAAAGGGCTTTCAACAAATTAATCTATGCACATTTTTAGCTTTAGTAAATTGATAAAATCTATTTAACACTAGAAACACTGCTAACACAGTAGTTTTTGTGTCATTTAAAACATATTACCTGCAGGACAGTTGCCCTCCCAGGGCTTTGTGGGTGGAGGGGGGGTGTGGTCATCACCGGGAAACTTCTTACAAACGTAACCCGCTGCGGCTCGCCCGCAGTTGACGTCGTTCCATACACCTTCAGAAACCAGAGGTCACTGTGAAACACTGGGGCAGGGTCGGGGGCGGGGTTTTGTGAAGTCACACTACCTTGACGTCTGTTCATCTGGACACACTGTTCCTCTCCGTTGGCATTATTAGGCTCCCCCGGAGCCCAGTGAGTGTACACTAAAGGACTGCCATCAACCCACCTGAGCAGGAAAACAAATCTCACCATCTTTTTTTATACAAGTCTTTTCTTTCCATTATTGTTTACAATTTGTCATCCTATTATATATTCAATACATATCTGCTCTTGTTAACTTTATAATCCTGCATTTCTTTAGGATGTTATTCTTTTATTTTCACACTCCACACACATGTATTGTCCATTTGCGACGCCGAACATCATCATTCCGATCCAGGCTGCAGCCACTTTCCCTGTGCCCACCTAAAGCAGTGTAACATCAAATAAACTTTAATGAAATGTTTTCTACAGTAAATCAAAAAGAAAAAAAAGCTGAAGAACTAAATCCTACCATGCTGTTAACATATGCTTGTTCCTCTTTGCTGAGGATGGACACCAGCATGGCCTTCTCTGCGTAGCAGCGCATCACTGCGGTGTGGAAGTCAACGTTGTCCGTGTCGTTGTAGTAGTAACAGATGGCGTTGTTCTTCCTCCAGCCGGGGTTGGAGCCGCAGTCGGGAGCTGAGAGGAAACATCGACCACGTGTTATTTTACGCTGCAGCGGTCTCTCTCTCTCTGTGAGCTGTGAGGATGGACGGTTTACCTGGAAGAGGAGATGGGGGCGCTGGAGGGAGGATGGGGGTTTTCCCTTTAGATATCATGCATATCCAGTCCTGATGAGCATCACAGTTGAGGTCGTTCCACCAGGAGATGGTTCCGTTGGTGCTGCTCACCATCTCTACACAGTCCTCGCGGCCCTCGTGGTTATTAGGCTCCCCGGGGCCCCAGTTAGTGTGTGACACCGGTGTGGCGTCGCTCCAGGAATATCCTAAGTCACAGAAGGACTCGTTCGGTTTTCTGTGCTTTTTTTTTAAAAAAAGCTCCTATCAAAGATAATTTCAACCCACCTCCTATTGCAGGGTTGTGCTTGAGACCGATCCACTTCGTGCTGTCTTTGCTGTAAGTTGACAGAAACACTTCCTCCTCCTGGTTGTGGATACTGACCAGATTGGCTCCCCTGGAGATGCAGTCTTCATGTGCTGCCCCCCAGCTCTTCTTCAGGGAAAAGTCCACATTATGGAAGAGCTGCAGTATGCAAGGACAAAAACATTAACCACTGACCAGGCGAGGCCTGCTTAAAAAACAAACCTTAGTTTTCCATGTTTCATTTCCTACTTTGTAGCAGTTTCTGAAGTGTGGCCGAGAAAACCAGCCATCAGCACAGCCCGGTACAGGAGTAGGTGTTGGAGCCTTGGTAGGGGGGGTGATGTCGGGTCTTGCCTTCTCACAAACAAAAGCATTTAGGTCCGAGCACTGCTTGTCGTCCCAGAAACCACCAATCTGACCCGTGGTCATGGCCACACATGTTCCAGCACCGTTATCTGAAAACAAGATGAGTCCCTTTCAATTGTTTTTATGAGGGTGTATTCTCCTGCTCTGCTGAGGTTAGCATTAGCGTTGGGTCAGCACCTGGTTGGTTTTTGTCCCAGTGAGTGAAGGTCAGAGGTAAGCCATTGTCCCACTTGTAGTCGACCCCTCCAGTTATCCCTCCCTGAGCGTGCAGGCCGATCCACCAGAAACCAGTCCTGTCTGTCAGCGCCACTGTGAAGTGTGACTGCTCATAGCTGCAGTAACACACATGATGGAGAGATTCACAGATTTAACATCCTCTTTCAGTCTATGAAAGGTACAAAATACATACATTTATTGAAGAAATACGTTTTGCCTGGGTCTTGCATGTCAAAGGTTTTAAACAAAGATCTCACACAATTTGTTTGCTCAGAATATGTGTTGAGACTACTACTACCACACCAAACTTCAGCTCAGGATCTTTAAAATTGACTGCATTTTAGCCATTTTTATTAGCATTCTTGAACTGGATTGACAACTAAGGTTTAGCAGATGTAGCTGTTCCTTACAGATCTGAGGATTTCATTAAAATCTACCCAGTGATTCATTAGATATTTTGCTAACAGACAAACACATTTCCAAGTGATTACAGTCTATCATTCACTTTTCAGTGTAGTACATGATAACTAAGTACACTGCTCAAAAAAAATAAAGGGAACACTACTGCTCAAAAAAATATAGGGAACACTTAAACAACGCACGCTAACTCCCGATCTTAATCAATGAAATATTCGCATTGAGTACTTTGTTCTGTACAGAGTTGAATGTGCTTCACAAAAGTTTGATTTACTTGGACTTAGCGTGCGTTGTTTAAGTGTTCCCTTTATTTTTTGAGCAGTATATTTTGTATAATACAATCGAGTATAATATGATCATTTTTTTAGATTAAGAAGCATAAAAAATCTAATCATAAATAACTCTTGTACCCCCACACTTTATGGATTTTTTTTGTTAAATTTCTAGTATTATACATGAATAAATATAGTAGTTATGTTTCTCACACACACAGTGTATACATTAGAAAAGCAGCCATTTGTCACTCAGGTCACACTCCAACCTTTTAAATTTATTTACAATCTGAAAACTGATACTTTGATACCGACATGTCTCCGATGTGCAGCAAGGAGCTGTCCAGATCCTTACAGAAGGCTTTGGCATCAGACCAACTCCTGGCCGTCTCTTCCATCCAGTAGCAGGAGTAGTCATAAGCGTCCCAGCCCTGACGCACAGCAAGAAATCATCTCATACAAGCAGCGAGCTGTTCCTCTCCAACAGTCATAAACTGAGTAAAAGGATCATCTTACCTGAGGGCATCCATACTGTGTGGGTTTAACCGAGGGAAGTGGATAATGTCCTTTGGGTGTTTTGCATATGTAGGTATTGAGTTCTGTGCAGGAAACGTCGTTCCATCGTCCAGTCTGGAACAAGAACAGAAAATGCTCAATCAGCTGGAACATTCTGCCTGCATGGATGGAAAGGTGAGGTTGTGTCTTACTGTGTGTAACATTTCCACGCAGTCCTCGCTGAACCCGTCATGGTTGTTGGGTTCCCCTGGAGCCCAGTAGGTGAAGGTTACCATGTGTTCGTCAGACCACATGAACATGCCAGGTACATTCAGATCGTTCAGACCGGTCCACACGTCGCTGGTGGCTGCAGAACCAAACAGCTCCTTTTTTATTTTTCATCCAGGAAACCTTTCTACCTAATGTTTTCTTACTTGAGTTGAAACACGCTTTGTTTCCCGACATCTGTTTAATATTACATAATCTTGCTACTTTTCTGAATGCATACCCATGTACAGGTAGCTTTCCACCCAACTCTGCTCCTTCATCGACTGGATGGAAACGAGCTCGGCGCCCAGGCTTCTGCACGCATCCCGAGCGTTGCGCCACGTCTTTTTGTCTGCAAAAGGTTTGTAGCAGAACTCGCCAAACTCGTACCAATCCGGCCCGGAGCACCTCAGGTCTGTGAGAAGAGTGAAAGAAAAAAAAAATAACATGCAGAAACAAATATACACAAAGTAATGACAGATTCACTCGGCTGAAAATAAATCTTAACTCACCCCCGTCTGCGAAAGAGTAGGAGACATCATAGTTCCCATTATACCTGTGGAAAAAATATTTGTTACCGAATTAGCTACAGCTGGTAGCTACAACAGCATTAATGGGTTTAAAAAAAACTCAACTCACTGTCTGGAAGTGATGCCGTTTTTGGTGGAGCCGGTGTAGAAGTTCTGCCCTGCAGCTTTCAACAAAGTGCAGTCTCCTCCCAGCTCATTCAGTATCACTCCAGCATGGATGGCAGCTGCACAGATGTTTGAGTCCTGTTACAGAAGACAGAGCAAACATAAAGAATGATGTGATAAAACTCAAAATATAATAAAAAAAAATCTTATCGTCAGCCAGAAAGGAAATATCTGCATACCCCACGGTACACTGAAGTGCCATACACCATGTAGTTAGAATTGGCACAGTCTGCTGGGCAGTGGACCCTAAAATATGTCAAAGAAAATTAACTTAAGGAGGTTTTCTCATGAGAGATATATTGTTATAGCATAGAGAAGAAAAATAAAGGCAGGAATAATCATTAAAAATGGTTCCGCTCACGTCATTCGATCTTTGTCAAAGTTCAAGTTGGGCTTGTCGGCACACGTGACTGCATCTGTTGAACCACAGATTCTTATGAAGGAAAAAAAATCACTGGCAGCAGATTTTGGAGGTGAGACAGGTTTCTTACAGTCAGGAGTGCAGCCTAAAACTTCCAATCGAAGGCCTGCCTGGTTGTTGGACTCCACTGGAAGGATGCGGACGTACTGAGCGGACACCGGCGTCCCCAGCAGCTGAGTTTCAGGGGTGTTTCTGTCTATTGCTCCTGGGAAAAACTGCAAACCAGAGACATGAAGACATAGAAATTGAAGCAAAAGCACCTCGAAAAAAGCCTTGAATGTTTTTCGGATGGTAGCCTCTTTTTACTCACATCCCCATCAGCTGAGTACTCAGTCCAGGTTGTTCCGTCCGTGCTGTGCTGGATCTTAAATTTAGTGATCCAGTGGTCGTCCTGAGGACAGCCCTGGATTACAATCCCTGTCACCTTTCTGGTCTCACCCAGGTTTACTTGAATCCAACTTGAGCTCGCTAGAACATAGAGATATTTTTTTCACCTTCAACTCGAACACAAACAATCAGTGATTCCATATTTTGAGGCTGCCAGGTCGGTACGCACCACTTCCAGAAGGCTTCCAGCAGGAGTTTCCCTTCAGACGGGCTTTGTTGGGAGTGAAGGAACCGATGGAGGAGGAAGCAGAGAGCTGGGAGTCTGTGATGGTCCCGTTCTCAACACCCAAACCGTGCAGACAAACTGTGACAAACACAATTATGAACCTATGAATGTTCTTCAGTAAAGCGTTGCATCTGATGGTGATCATTACAAGTCTTTTGAGACGTGTGTTTGTGTGCAGGTCTGATTAGAGTTGAGAGTAATATTACACACCTGCAAGATTTAAAGTATTTTATTACATTTGAACGCTAATTTGATCAGGACACACTAAAATAAATCAGATTACCTTTCTGTTCACAGCTGAAGACAATCTCTAGATATTTAGACACAGTTGGGCAGGGGTCATCCTCTACGTGGGCGCGTGCAAAGCAGAAAGCATGGTTGTCGCACGACTTTCTGTACATGGGCAGAATGCCTGAGACTGTACAGTGTCCTGTAGCAAAAAGGTAAATTTAAAATTAAATGTAAGCAAAAACTCACATCTGCTCATTAATTTGATCTGATTGACGCCGCCTCCACACACTGGCGTGATAAACAGTTTTTAGAGTAACGCGCGGCAGCGGCACCTCCTGATCCCCCCAGGTGTGGACAGATGTCGTCGCTCTTCCGTCCAAAGAAAGCAGACTGTATGTTGATGACGCTGTCAATTGGACAGTGAAGGACAGCGGAGGAGTCCTGGCACACGAGCGCTGTCATAAAACCTGCAATAAAACCAAATAACAGCAAAAATACTTACAGGACAGTTGCTATTAAATATTATTTTGTGAATGCTGATTCAGCATTGTTTTCGTTTCCCCTGTGCTACCCCCAAATGATTGACAAGTGGATTGGTGTTTGTGATATTTCAAAGATGGGCATACAAAAAAGAAAAACAGGTTTTGCTAACTAGAGTGTGTCAGAGGAATTTCTCTTAGCTGTGGAGGCCATCTTGCAAAAATGTCAAGCTCCGTCCCCGTTTTGACTTCTGCATCCTTTTTTATTTTAGCCATTCATACATTAAAAATTTCAGCTCATTAGAGATAGCCTAGCTGTGACTTTTAGCATTTGTTACTCGTTTTAAAACATTTCACATTTTTCTGCAACCATATTCCCCATAGAAATACACTGAGGTCATTTCAGTTCCTTAAAAACAAATTTTCTTCATTTCTGCATCAGCTTCTGCTTAAACTTTTGGTTTAGCTGCTTTTAGCTTCTAGCTCCTGTTGTGCTACTTTTAAATAGTGTTGCTCATTTTTGCTCTTGGCTTGTGCTCTGCTTCTTTTAGCTTCAACATCTCAGTTTTTGCTTCTTATGCAAGTTTCAACATTCATTTAGCTCATAGCATTCAAACTCTCTACGTTGATAAATCCTGGAAGAAAAAAAAAACAGGTCTTTACCATCATGAGGTGGAGGAGGCTCAGGTGTTTTTCCTGAAACAATAAACATGTATAATTAGTATTTGCACATTTAAGTTGTTTTGTAAGAATCGGCAGCAGAGCAAATATTTCCCACCTCTTCTCTTGCAGATGTAGCCTCTTTTGTTGTCACAGTTGTCGTCGTTCCAGTAGCCGTTGTTGATGAGTATGGACAGGCAGTCTTCACCATAATAGTCATCTGGGTTACCTGAGAGACCAGGTTAGATCAAGATGTTAGTTTGTTTTTGGGTTTTTATTCCCTAAAGGTAATTCTTTAGTTTTCATGCACTACTTCACATGTTTGGCTTTTAACTGACCGGCGTTCCAGTTGATGTATCTGAATGGAGAGCCATCCATCCACTCCCAGCCTCCTTCTATGACCGAGTCATGACCTCCCATCCACAGAGAGATCCCAGTGGGACTCTGCTGGATCACTCCTGAGAGGAGACAATACAACACTGAGTTTATAATAAGCAGCGTTTCAATAAACTCTTACTGAATGTCTGCAGTCTGCAGATGTGTCCTGGGATCCACAGAGTATTTAAAAACATTTTACAAAAATATCACTTTGGCAAAAAATTTAAAACTTTCACCAAATTGACTCATTATTTTTATACAAATAATAAAAAATTGATTATTAAATATTTAACGGTCGTGTCAAAATTTTATAATGAATATATACTAAAAAAAAAAGTCAAATCCAAAAGAAAATGACACGTTATGGGTTGAGTAGAACCAACTCTGCAAGGTAAAATGCGTCACTAATAATGACACTTAAGACAACAGGGAAATGAACTGGACTTGAATTTAAAAAGAAAACGGATTAAAAATGAACACCTTTCAGGGCTAACATTGCAGAAATGTGCTTCACGTACAACCATGCACACCACAGGTCCTTAAAGGGGCAAATTCTCAGGCATATATTTCAGTTCTAAAGTATCTATGTCACAATTAGTTGTTATAAAATGCTGTTTTTTATGTTTAAATAGAAAATAAACTCTTCTTCTCATCATTTCCGTTTCTAAACACCTTGAAATTGGCCTCTGTCTCTTTAAGAACCTCCTGCTTCTGTCCCACCCATTTCAACGGGGGGTGGGGGTGGGGGCTGTGATAGGGAAGCTCAGTGTGGTTTACTTTGCATCTGAAAATACATTTCCTCAAAGGTCTTTTGAATTTGAAAAGGGCTGTGCTCAGAAGTAGTATTGGGAGCTCAGCAGATAGTTTCAGTTTCACCAGTTTGCTTTGTTGCTGCCGGGAGCCTGCAGAAGTCACAGGTGGGGGTGGGGAGGTGTGCTCTGTGATGAGGAAGCTCAGCCCAGAGGAGGAGCTGGTCCCAAAAGTCAGTTCTAGTCCCAACCAGTCGTTTTTGCTCCCCTGCCTGGCTGCCTCAGGACACTACAGGATTTCTCAAACATGTTTAAATGAGTCAAAAGTAAGACTCTGGACATGTTTTTGATGAGAGGATAACATTATAACATGATATAAAACTCAAAAAAGTTGATTTTACATAATATAGCCCCTTTAAATTTTGCTTGCTTAAACATTACTTTATAGTTTGTCAACCTGTTTATGTCGTGTGCTAATATGCATCGTAGTTTCATTCTACAGTGCATCTCTGATGTTATGTTGAGTGACAATAAAAGAATCTGAATCTGAATTAAATGCCGGATGCTGATGCTTGGAAGTACATCTAATGTTTTATTTTATGATTGGAACCTGTAGAGGGTGCTAATCAAGCATCTGGGTATGCTACATCAGGGAATGAGTTTTTCCTAATTTGGGATTTCCAAGTTGCTCCTAACATGGTTTGTTAAATTTGCCGCTGTAATTTTCTGTAGTTTACTCAAAACAAGCAAAAGACAAAACTCGCTTCATTCAAAAATCTAATCAAAAGTACTCGAGCCACCGTGTAAACACCTTGGACGAAGGCTTGCTCAAAAGGTTCGGTGATACTGAGAAGATCTCCTCCTTGGTTGACGCAGTCGGCTCGAGCCTCCGCCCAGGTTCTTTCCGACAGAAAGTTAAACAGGTAGCAGTAGTCGTTGAACGGGTCAAACATCCACGAGCCACATTTTTCATTCCAGCCTGTAATGAAAACAACTTTTATCTTCAGCTCAACACACAGTCAGATTGTTACCATCAGGTTTGGGTTTGAGAAAAAAAGTGTAGCATGATGTGGACCTGGTCCAGATGTTGGCGGCTGGGGCGGAGGTCCTTGTCCTTTAGCTGCAGAGAGACAAAACGATGATTACAAAAATCGTACCAGGGAAGAACAAAAGAGGAGCATAAAGGAAGGAGCATGAGACCTTTTTTGCAAATATATTCCCTTGTGGTGGCGCAGAAGTCATCATTCAGCAGTCCGGGCTCAACGTGATTCATTCCCCGTATGTGCACGCAGTCCTCGTTGTTCTGCCAGTTGTCTGGTTGGTGGGGCCCCCAAGGGAGGAAATCCTGCGATCCACAGAAGACAGCAGCACAGACTGAGATGCTGAGTCATCATAACAACTTTTTACATATCTTTTCTCCTCTTACTGCAGGTGTTCCATCGGTGTACACAAACTGGTTTTCATTAGTGATGTCGTTCAGACCCACCCACGCTTCAGCTGGCATGTGGGCTGCAAAAAAACAACAACAAATAATAATAATAATAAAAGGGCAGCTACATATTTTAACTGTTTATTGGATTTGTCCGCTGCTCACCGGTCAGGAAGCTCAGCTCCTCCTGGGAGTGGATGCTGGCCAGGTGACCCTGCTCACTGACGCAGCGAGCTTCGGCGTCGTGCCAGTTTTTCACATCCTCGTTCTCAAAGTGGTAGCAGAAGTCACCGTACAACAAGTACCCACGATCGCAGTGGCCATCTGAAGCGAACAGAACTCCAGTTACTGACAAGGCTGGGGCTGGGGTTGCAGAAAAGAAAGGAACGTAAACTTGGACCGACCCGGAGAGGCTGTTGGTTGTGGGTTCACTCCACCCGTCATCTCACAGATGTAACCCAGGCTCTTAAAGCAGTTGGTTGTTTCCCATTTACCCTGATAATTGCCTGGAAAAAAAACATTTAGTGCTCTGATAGAAAAAACATTTTTTACCAGCATCTGTGCAGCTTAAGCTGTGTGGTACCTGTAAAGATCTGTCCACAGTCCCACATGCCTTGAGTGTTTCTGGGCCAACCAGGGCCGTAGTTTGAAAACGAAGTGTCTGTTTTATCCACCCATTTAAAAACACCATCCTGGAACTTATCTGGTGAGCAGTGGAACAGGAAAATGAGCTAAAAAGGCTTATTATACTTCACATTAGCTTTATAAACAAAACAGGTTACAGGAGCCAGGTTACCGGATAAGCCGATCCAGATGTCAGGAATGTCCACTTGGTGAAAGTCTGGAAGTTTCCCGTTTATGTAGAACTGCTCTTCTTCACTGAGAGAGGAAGAGAACAAACATGAGACACGACAATCTCATCTGTACGAGGAAATGTAGATGAGGAAGATTGGCTGCATTTATGATTCAAAGGTTTTTAAAGGTTGTTAAAGTTAAAGGTTGTAAAGTCCTAAAAGTAGCCTACTTATTGACTAGTCCAAAAAATGATGAGAGCAGGAAACAAAATCTGCACAATATTTCACTCATACTGATGGTTAATGTGCCCTTTAAAAGTCTGCAAGCAAAATTTGTAAACAGCTCTTAGCTGCCTATGACTGGACGGACCTATAGAAACAAAGTGACTGAAAATAGGTCAACAGTGCAAATATCTGTAAAAGAGCCATTTAGGATTTGTTGAGTGAAGAAAGCAGGCAGGTGTTTAAATCAGTACAAATTAAACTGGACATTAAAACAAACTATATTTCACCCACTTTCTGGAAATTATAACCAGTGAATGTATAATTAACCAATTACAGCCAAGTGCTTTGTTGACACTGAGTGTGTACCCACAGTTTAGAATTGTATTTCAATTGTTTCATTGTATTTCATTGTTTTTGCATGCTTTTATATTACTATGTTTTTATTTTATTTTATTTTATTTGCTGTGCAGCACTTTGATCGCCTTGGGGTTTGTAAAGTGCTATATAAATAAAGTTTTGATTGATTGATTCAATATATCTGGAAAACTACTTGAGTCAACTTTTTCAAACTGCATCATTTGATACAATTCAGGATAATGTTTTTATGTTTTATTTTACAGTTTGTAATGAGTACCTTTAAATCTTAAATGAGCATTAAAATAGATTTAGTGTTTTTCAAAAGTAGAACGGTTGGAAACGAGCCAAAACAAGCATTTTAGAAAGGAAATGACATTTTTTAAGTTTTTTTTATTTGAGCTTTTTCTACAAATGAAGACTATAATAAGAAATAGGTCAGATTGTCTGCAGCTGTCTGTGTGCAGGACTTTCTGTTTAACAGAAAGTTTTAGTTTGCATTTAAAATTAGGCCTCTGACTCCAGTAAAAGGGCACCAACGGCAAAACAGGATAGAACACGGTGCTGCTGAAATAAATGTTTTGTTTTTAACATCAGGAATGAAAGATGAGGCTTCTCTACTCATATTATCTTTAACTTTTACAAGTGGGAAAAGAATATCCAGGCCAAAAGAAAATTATTATAAAACAAAAAAATAATGTGTTTGCTTTGAATTTTGCAGAAATCTACCTGTTAATCCTGGATTATTGTTCATGCTGCCCTTTTTAAGGCTTTCAGTAAAGTTATTAAACAATAAGAAAACGTTTTTTTAAAAAGTACATACAGTTTATTGATAAACTTTGTTCCAATTAAAGCTCAACTTTCCCTTAAATTGAGATGCTGATCAGAATGTTGTGTGTCACAATGAAAGGAACACAAAACACATCGTCTATGGTTTTAATTCTAAAACTGGTGCCGTGTTTTGTTTCCCTTACTTGTTTATAATGACCAGATGAGCCCCCATACTGGAGCACCTGGTTAAAGCTTCGTTCCAGGTGGTCAGCAGGTTGATGTTGCTGACCATCCAGTAACAGCTGCCGGCAAAGCTGTGCCAACCGAGAGGACAGAGGGCTGCCGGGAGAAGAGCCCCAACAGGTCAGAATCCAAACAACCTACATCTGCTTTAACTCGGATTACCAGGCGTGGAACAGGAACCGTTCAGCTTACTGCTAATCAGACGTTTGCACATGTACGGACGCTCGTATCTGCACGGATGAGACCTCCATTTCCCCGTTGAATCCAGTGAATCTTTGATTACTGCACCGCACGAGCCGACCTGTGGATCACTGTTAGAGGATGCAAGCTTTAGCTAGAATTAATCAAAGTTCGAATGGCGTCTTTTAAAACAGGATTTCTCACACTTGAGGTTGACCCTCGTCCCAGTCAGTGTACGATACAGGAAAGGCGTCAGACCAAGCAAACTGGCTGTTCCCAGGATCAAGCTGACATGAAATCTTGTTGCATTTCTGAAAGAGAAAAATAAAAAAATTAAATCTCACCATCGCCTTCAAATCCTCTATTCATATTTATTTCTTTAATGAAGAGGAAAAGCCTCCAACTGTCACAGCTTTGTTTTTCCTCACCAGCGTAGAGAGTCCAATCCAGAGGTCCAAGTGTGTCGCATCCAGCCTTCCCATCACATAAGTGTTCTCTTCTGCTGAGCTTATGGACACCAGGTCTGACCCCTCCAGCACGCAGTCGTGTCTGGCTGCTGCCCAGCTCCTCCTGGTCTCCGATTTAAGCTTGTAGCAGTTGGAGCCGTACTGATGCCAGCCATTGGATAGGTCACACTGTGGGGCAGGATTTGCTGCAGGACAGAAAAATAAAACATTTAAAGAACAAATTTGTTCTTGCACGCATGTTTTTCTGTTCTGATGGAGACTATATTGTGAAATTAACAATTAAAATATCTTAATGTGCAGGGAGCTGGTGCATCTCTCAGAGCCGGAGGTTTAGATTTATGTGTTGAAAAGTCGTCAAATCTCAAACTTCTAACACTGAAAATCCTTACTCTTCACACTGTGAATATTTTTTTTAATCTTCCACACAATTTTATTTTTGCTATTTGTACTGAATGAAAGTAGCAGGTGGCTAAACTCCTCAAGTTATTAGGTTTGCTGTTCATTTCTAATTGGGACAAAAAGCAGTTTTTACACAAAGCAAAGACAAACAGAGGGGAAAATAAACTACGTCTCTTAATTGATATGATTAAGAACAATGTTTGAACAGGTTTTCTGTCATGTTCGAGTACTGCACCACAGCTTGTGTGATAAAGATTGATAAAGGCTAGATTGTTTAAAAAAAATGAAACAGTATAATGTGCATCCATATAAATTGTTTTTCTAGAAAGATTTGATGTTTTTGTTTTGTTAACTTAAGATTATTATTGTTTGAATTTATACTCGAGGAAATAGGGGCGGATATAATAAGATATTTTTTCTTCTCACTGCTGCCTTTCATTTTCATTTCATTTTATTTGTATTTTCTTTTTTATCGTACATAGAATTAATTTTGTTTTTTAAGAAATCAATGAAGTTTGAAACGAAAGTAAGCACTTGGATCAACTTAACACAAAAGGTTACGTAAAAGACACTGCAAATTTTACAGAAAAAATATATATGTGTGTCTAATGCATAAACAAAGATCAATATAATTTTAATTGTTCTGGTCAGAGTAATTAAGGGGGGAAAAAAGCTACTTTTGTAGCTACAGGGTTCACTTACGGTTCATGTGTTTGCAGATATATTTCCTCTTTGCGTTGCAGTTTTCATCGTTCCATCGCCCAAAGCTGTTCCCCACCACCTGACCACAGTGCTCCGCACCGCCGTAGTTATCAGGCTGGTTTGGCATCCAGTACCTGACACACAGGTCAGAACAGATTTCCTTGTAATTAACTTAACATACAGGAAAACAACTACCTTTTTTTTTAAGAAGAGTCTGGCCTCTGAAATACACAAGTTAAATCCTTTAAAGTTTCTTAACTTGCTTCAGGTCATTTATTTTGCTGCTTAAATAAAAGAATGTTCTACAGATAATTTGTAGTATCGGCTTTAAAACTGGATCTTATTTACTTACGATAAATATTCAATGAAAGGACTCCCATCACTCCACTCCCAGACATTTTCTACAACTTGGTCGTTTAGGCCGATCCAGTAGATCTCAGTGCCGATTTGTGTTCTCACCCATAACTAGAAACAAGGCAAAGAATAATATTACAGATTATTTATATGGAGTGAACTTGACGTTAGGAGTGTTTGTGCTCCTCACCCTCTCTTGGATGTCCTGAACGCTCATCAGGTTGCTGTTCTGTCCCAAACAAAAAGCGTTCGCCTCTGGCCACGACTTGGTGTCCGTGGAAAAGAAGTAACATTTGTTCTCATTTTCCCTCCAGCCTTGCTGACACTGACTGTGAGCTGGGGACACAGAGCAAAGCAAACTTCATATGAAATAATGGCAGAAATATCTGATAAAACTAAATGTTCAGCTCAAAGAAATAACCCACAATTTATCTATATATAAAAATGAAACTTCAATATTTATCAGGACAGTTAAACAAGTCAAAGTACTCTGATTACTCTACGTGGCTCAGGAGTACTGGAGTTGAAGTTTCACAACATGGAGAACCATCAGCTCGACCATAAAAGTCCCATGACAGATCCTCGTGAACAAACTGAACATCTCCCACAAATCTGTGGGTGAATGTTTGACTTTAACAACTGGACAAACTATTTAGAATCACATGATTTTCACACGTCTTTAATTAGCCAAGAGATTAACTCTGTTGCATTAAGAAAATACATGTAAAATAATAAATTCTCATCCTGGAATCAAAAATACACTCCACACTTTACAATTTAAAAATAAAATGAAGAAAAACACACACAGCAGAGGCAGTGGCTACCAATATACATTCTTTGGTGCTTAGAAATTTTCTAAACAATATGATGGAGAATAAAGTTAGCTCTTCTGACAAGAGATTTAAAAAGAAAATACATAAACTTTGAAGTGTATTTTCCCCACCTCTCTCAGACTCAGGCCTGATCAGCCCCATTTAAAATAAAAACCATTAGAATATAATGCACATCATTTAACTCATCACCTGATTTCAAAACTTATTACAAGGTTCATATTTCACTCTGCATTCCTGGTTTCTAGAACCAGATTGAGCACATGCTGTAAAATTCACAATAAAACAAAATGAAGACAAAAATAATCTTAGTCAAATGAATGAAAACTCACCAAAAGCTAGAAGAGAAGCCAAGTTGAGCAGCCACAGGATACTTCTGTCCATTTTTAGTTTAGTAGTGATTATATTAAAGTATTTTTCTGCATATTCAGGTGGTGAAAAGTTTTATTTTGTTATCTGAGCCTGGCAGTGTGTGTGTGTGTGTGTGTGTGTGTGTGATGTGATGGATCTCCAGGTGCTCAGAGTTTTGAGCATCTTCTCTTGGGTTCACCTCTTTTCAGCGTTTGTGTAGAGTCCAAAGACTGAACACAATAAAACTCAGATCACACACACACACATTTGTTTTTCTATCCTCATGGGGACTTTGCATTGACTTCTATTCATCTACCGGTCATTCAGCCTAACTCTGACCCCTTACCCTAAACCTAACCTCACAGGTACAGACAGGACCTTAAACCTAACCTAAACTCAAATCGCACATTAGTCCTAAACTGAACCCCCTGACCCACCATTGCTATTTCTCCCAAAGGGGACCAGGCTTTTGTCCCTATAAAAGAACAGTGGGTCCTCACAAAGCTGTGTGTACCGGGAAAATGGTCAAAGTCATCCCCACCAGGTAGCTAAAGCATGTATATACAGACAAACACACACAAATTATCTAGAGCAGGGGTGCCCAAACATTTTCCCTGAGAGGGCCAAAATGAAAAACTGATCTAAGGGCTGCGGGCCAAATGCATTAATACAGGAAATGCAAATACTTATGTAAAGTTGTTTTATTTTTAATGATTTTTATGATTAAGCTAGCAGTGCGGTGTCCCACATTTTTTTGTTCATGTTTTACA